TGCATCCCTGGTCGTCTCTCTTTGGTTCAGATCTCTTCCTGGCCAAATCTACCTAAGATTGCAGATCATTGCTGTGTGTCTGTGTACAGGAGATTCCCCAGCCGTTCGTGGTGATGTCTCTGGCGCTGACGGTGACCGTGGCGTGGTGCAACAATGCCTTCTGGGCGAGCATGGCCGTCTGCGGAATGGCCTGGCTCGCTGCGTGAGGAGTCAACACAAGAGAGAGACACCAAAGATGGATGGATGTGTGTGTGTCCCTACGTCAGCATGAGTCTGTTGCTGAGCATGAGCATTGGGCCGGCGTCACTCCTCTTCGCTCTCGCGGACGGCACACTCCGTCAGCTGAATGAGACACTCACAATTTATCCAAGTGTGATGTGTTTCTGTGCGTCAATCAGATGGCGTGCTGATGGTCTGTTTGGAGGCGCTGAGCATCCTGACGTCTCTGCTGCTCATTCTGCTGTGCGCCTGCATCAACAGCAACTTCAGCCAGATCGGATTGGCGGAGCGCGTCATGTGCGGTGAGCAGCAAGGCGGGGACACATCGATTCGATGGCCGCATGTGTGTGTGTGTCTGTTTGTGTGTGCAGCGTTCACCCCGCGGGACTTTTGGTATCCATCGATCGTCGACACCGCGGCCTCCGACTCCACGGCTGACTCAGACGGAGCCAACGGCAGCCGACAACCGGTCAGACAGGCAGAGAGAGAGTGAATGAATGCGTGTGTGAGAATTCTCCTGTGGATGAGTGAGAGTCCATTTATTTCAGGCACCTTTCAGTGGGCCTGCCAGACGACTTGGCGACGAGAGCGACAAACACTTCCCACCTGGACGCGTCTGAGCTGATTCGAACCACCAGAGAGCGCGGTGAAGAGCAAACACACAGAGAGACCAGCAGCAGGCACCACACACTGACCAACTGACACACTGACGAACTGACAGATGCGTGAATCGATTCAACGTGACCATCAGATGAACGTATCCGTAAAATATATGATCGTCAAGACAAACATGTCTGTCGACTGTGTGATGTTTGCGGCCAGACCAGTCGGCAAGTAATCACTCCTCCGCACATGTCGATGTGCGGAATGATGAGTGACCACCCGCCGCACCGCCCGGCGGCGCGCATCTCACAGCCTCATTAGACGACCATACTGTCAACCAACCAACGAATCGACACACACCACGCCACGCTCTCATCGTCGATGTGTCTGGCTACACACACACTGGCTCGCTCGAGCAGACACACGAGAAACACACGATCCTATTACTAGCCACCATCGTGCTCTTGCTGATGCTGCGGTTGCCTGAGGCCGTCAATCAGGCGCATGGCCGCCTCGGCGATGGCATGCTGGCTCGATATCAGACGCTCCACACGCTCACACCAGTCCCCCAACCTGCACACAACACACAACACAGGCATGAGGTGGGGCCACCATCGTTGACGTGTCCGCGTGTGAGTTCGTCTCACCAGTGTGGCGGGTACGGCTCGCCGAGCATCTCTCCCGCACTCTCCCTCTGCACCATCTGCTTCCATCGGCTCAGCTGCGTCAGCTTGTCGCCAAATCGGCTGGCCATCTCGCGCACGGCCTGCTCAAGAGTCGATAGGCACAGAGCCTGCTCACCACAGAGAGAAGGACTTTCCGTCGGGTCACCAGATGAGATGAGGTATCTGCACTGACTTACATCGAGTTGCGATGTGGCTGGGTCGAGCGGCTCTTTGTCGTGCAGTATCGACGGCAGTGAGTCGATGTCATCGTTCAGGCACACACGCAGCGTGGTCCACAGCGACGCCGCAATCACAGGAGGGCTCACTCTGACCACAGAACAATCCCAGCCACCCATCATTGCGCAATTTGCTTTTTGTGTCCATCCATCGTTGTGTGTCATGGTCACCTGAGGAGGTGCTCCACAGGGATGTCGTGGTGGGCCATGATGAACTCCTTGGCCTCGGCGGCTTCGCCATCGTCTGGCGGCTGGAAACGGAGGGCGAGGGTGTCGTGGGGATTGGGGGGCGGGGCGGTGAAGCCGTAATGCAGCAGAGACTCCCATGACTGAAGGTATGCACACATCGATCACATGGCCAGTCAGTCTCCATGACAGGACAAGATGACGGTCGGTTCCCTGCCTCTCTCTACCTGTAGAGGGCCGTAGCTGAGAAACACTTGCACACCTGCCTGCTTGGCGCCGCTGCGCATCGACACATCCACACACCTGATGGCATCAATACAACCAACCACATGAGTGAGTGAGTGAATTGCACATTGTTTCCTCCCTCCCCACCCACGTGCCTTGCCTACCTTTTGACAGCATCGAAGCGTGGCACGTCGCATTGCCCCCTCGCGTGATGGTTCATCATATCGACAGCAGGCACCAGACACGAACACCGACCGTCGGCCATGTCCAGCCACCCCTCCGCCCTCACACCATCCCCCACCTCATACACGACCACGCGCCCCGCATCCTTGTCCTTGCACTCGGGCAACACCGGGAGAAAGGGCACTGGCGAGGAGTCCTCAGCAGCATCGCCGCTCCCATCCTCCTCGTCGTCGGCCATGGCGTTGGTCTCCCTCTTCCGAACCTCCGACAGAGATGCCGGCTGGACGGCTAGCGCATGGAACGACAGAGGCGGCAGGGAGGGAGGCGGGTCGACCCTCAGCGCCACACAGCGGGAGTCGATGACACTCTTCGCCCAGAGGAATCTGTCCCAGCCAAAGTGGGACGGAGGGGCGAATACGTGAGGGAAGAGCACACCGAGTCGCGAGAAGAGGCCGCAGTACATGGTGTAGAGGTCGCCCTTCACCGTATCAGCCGCCTCCTTGACGGCCTCCATCTCGAGGAAGTCCAGCACTTCTGGAGGGCCAAGCAGCAGCGAGTCGGTGTCGTCAGGGATGAGTGAGAGGGGAAAGCTGGGATGGCGGGTCTCAAGCAGCAAGAATAGCATCAGCACCACATCACACGGGATGGTCTCAGGCAGCTCTGCCCACTCATTCTCGTCGGTCTTGATGCGTTTGGCGGGCCGCGCGTTTCCATCCCCCTCTTCTCTCATGGCAGCGTCTTCGATTGGCTTCCTGGCTGCAGGGCACAGCAGGTAGACCGCCACCACGCCAAAGACAGCCGACGAAAGAGCCGAGAGGACATTCAGGAGGCATTTCTCAGGGACGGATAAGACCGTCGTCCCCGATTCGATTGGCCCAGTGGTGTACCAGCCTCGCATGTGGGTCGAGTCGGCCGCCTCCGGTGAGGCGAGCTGCATGTGGGGATGCACGAGGCCGCCTTGAGCGGATAGCCATTGCTGCATGCTGTGTGTCTGTGTGTGCATGGGGAGAGGGGCTGAGGGGAGGGGGCCGCAGGCCGGCTGACAGAAAGTGTCGATCTGCTGCTGCACAGACACAGCCAGGGGATGTGTTGCTGGCAGGCCCAACGACTCGACGGCAGCTTGGCAGCGAAACAGGGCCTGCGAATGACGCCAAGCAACGTACGCCAAGCAACGCCAAGCAACGTACATCTGTGACAGCCGGATGCATGACAGACAGGTTTTGGACAGACTCTGACCTTTCGATGGTTGGATGGGTTGTCATAGATGGTGTCAAGCGCCGCATAGGCACTCCCCTCATCCGCATGCCGCCGGTCCCACTCCCAGTCGTGCAAGAAGTAGAGATCTTGCGGACTCATCGACAGCACTCGGAATGCGTCCACCAGCCGCCTCACATCGTCCCTGTCATCATTCCAGTGGTAATAAGGCCGAGAGGCGCCCTCTTCCTGCTGCTCATGGATGCTGTCACCGATGCCCAGCCGCTGCAAGATGATCTGTTGCAGATTGATCAGCTCGGGATGGCGTTCTGCCGCATCCTCCTTAAGCAGCAGTGAAACTTGCATCATGGGCATCTCTCAACGCCGTAACGAACGAACGGATCGCCTTCGGCGCTAAGCTCGCACTGCCAAGACTCCTTCCGGTGTTTTTGGAGGTTGAGAAGGCTGAGAGCAGCTCCTGCGTGAGTCATGGAGCGATGCATGAGTTCATTTCGTCGCCCCCATTCATCGGCCCTTCGCCTCATCGCTCCCACGCCCCGCCCTCTGACGCAGTGCCATCAGACAAGGCACACGTCGAGTGCTGCCAGTGAGGCCTCAATGGAAGTCGCAACGACAGAACCCGGCGCACAGGTGAGAAAGATGACATCAGTGGGAGGGGGGGGTCGGACAGACAGGCAGACAGACACTTCAACGTGTGCAGGTCTCTCGCTCGCTGGTCGACAAACGGCGAATACGAGTGAGAATGACAAGAAAGGGGCAAAGGTCTTCGGGCGCGTCGATGAGTGGATTTCACTCGTGTGTCATTTGTGTGTGTGTGTTTAGGTGAGAGGCGGGAGGGGCGGCGATGGAGTGGTCAAGTACATCAAGCACGCTAAGCACATTATGGTCGGCCCAGGTCAGTCGGTCATCGGCACACTGCAGGACAATCACACACACACACGACGTACCGAGAGGCTGGTTTGTTCTCCTCCGCAGGCTGGCCTGCGGGCGGGGCTGGAGGTCAGGGAGGCTCCGTGTTCGCCGAAACCACCACGCGGCCGGTGGACACCATCCTGGGACACCTCAAGGGCGTCATGCAAGCCGACCCCGGCGAACACGGCTGGGTGAGCAAGCACACACACCACCATGGGCACACCAGTCATTTGCCACCTCTCCGCTGCGCGTCTGTGTGTCGCAGAAGAATCGCGCCAACGGTGCGAGTGGTGCTCACAAGGTGCTGACATTGCCCCGCGGCTGTGTGATATGGCGGCTGAGGACGGAGGAGCCCCCGGCTGAGATGTCTGCACCGCCCGTGGCCATCGAGAGGGAGTGGCTCAGCGAAGAGGCACTCGTGGAAGAACAAATGAGGGAAATGGCACAGCAGCAGCAGGATGATGATGAGGGCCGGGAGATGGCCGTCGACGAGCCTGGGTGAGAGAAGGGAATTGACGCGGTGCGTGTGACTGGTCACCTGCTGTGGATGCAGTTTCTCGTGGCATGGGAGCTATGAGAAGGAGCTGATCGCCGATATGAACGATGTGGTGAGCAAAGCCAGAGGGAAGACCTTTACGTGTTGATGCACCTGTCTGCCTCGGTGTGTGCCTGGCGTCAGGGTGAGCGCATTCTGCTGGCTCGTGGAGGGAGGGGCGGGCGAGGAAACACGAGCATGTAACCGAGACAAACCAATCTCGCCGACAGCGAGATGACTGCATCTTATCTGTCTGTGTGTCAGGAACCCCCACGACGCAGAGAAGGGCGAACCTGGCGAGAGCGTCTTCATCGTCAGCTGACTCACACCCACACACACCGCCATCCACCCACCATGTGTGTGCGGCCCTCCGATGGTGTGTGCAGGAGCTGGAGCTCAAATCGATAGCTGACGCGGGCCTGGTGGGCTTCCCAAACGCAGGGAAGTCGACACTCCTCGGAGCGGTCAGCCACACACACACAGACCCACTCATCCCTCCACCTGTCATCCCCGCGTGTGTGTGTGTGTGCAGATATCCCGTTCGTGTCCCAAGATCGCGCCCTACCCCTTCACCACCCTGGCGCCGCACATCGGCCGCGTCGAATACGCCGACGGGCAGACCATCTCGGTGGCCGACCTCCCCGGCCTCGTCGAGGGCGCGTCCATCAACATCGGCCTCGGCCATGAGTTTCTGCGTCACATCGAGCGCACCATGGTGCTGGTCTAT